AGTAAATATCACTTGTTCTTCTCTTCTTTCCTCAGACATGGTAATAAAAGAGCATGAACAGTGAGGATAATTTGAGTCTGTTTCAGAACACTTTTGTTGAAGTCCTGACTTGAAATAATTTCTCTGTGCCCATCAGTAGGCTTTTAATCTCTTAAAGTTTCATTTCCTCTATTACAAAACTTTGGATGTTATACAAGATGGCCCAAAGACTCTTCCAGTTCGAAGATCTCACTATACTCCATAAATGTGCATAGATTTTATGTGTTAATTAAAAATAAAATAAAGAAAAACTAAAAAAAGAAGTAAAGAAGTCAATCTTTTCTTTTCTTTTTTTGCTATAGGGTGCGTGCGCTCGCCAGACAGACTGAGAGTTAGAAAGCGAGAAATCACTCCCCGGAGGGGATGGCCGTGCCGCAACCCCTTCTCCTCCATTCTCCTCTTGGGATCTTGGGCACTCATGCACACGCACCTGGCGTGAGTTTTAAGCCACCGGGTCCAGGACATGAACCGCAGTCGACTACATGGGAGCCAGCAATATAGCCATTACGCTAACTGCTGGTCCCAGGAAGTCAGTCTTTTCTCAGAGCCAATTGCCATTCTCACCTTCTATTCACATTCTTTTCTGGAAGATGAAAAGTTGCTAAACCTTATGATGATAGTTCTTGCTTGGTAACCGCCTACCATATATTATTTTACATTTGCTTACATCTGTAGGAATTTTTACTCTATCTAACAAACAAAAAGTTTGAAACTTGAATGAATCAAGTACATTTTTTTCTTTAAAGTTAATTCATTTATTTATTCAGAGAAAGAAGAAGAGAGTGAGAACCCCCAAAAGGTCTTGGTGCTATGATCCACCCTCATCCTCAGCTAACACTGGATCACGGGCATACATATGTCCAGTGTACTCAGGGATGTCTCTTAAAAAAACCCAGAACCTTCCATGTGAATCAATCTTGCAAAATATCACCTTTTACCACTGCACCAATCTTGGGCCCCCAAATAAAGTATTGTTAATTCTGCTTACTTAAATAGGGGAGGACCTGGTAATCCAGGTGTGATGATAGGTCGACAGATTTTCCAAGTTTTCTTAGAGTGAGGCTTTTCCCCAATGTAGGACTTTCAGTACTAAAATAAGTATATTTCTTGGTAGTAAACCAGGTTGGTTATCCCATTTGCTGACTCAGAATAATTAAACTCTTACTGGTTCTGTTGTTTTGCCTTTGGCATGGTTAAATCCCTAACCTGAGCATCAGTAAAACTCACTGGATTTGAGATTCAATACAGATCTCTTGGTAGAATAGATTACTTAGATGCCTCACTTCTTATATAAAATGAAAAGCTGAATATATTTAGCTCTCTTGAATATATCAGTTATAAATCTTCATTTCCTTGAGACCTGTAAGGTGGAGAAATGAGAGGACACAAAGGACCAGACATTCAAAATTTTTCCACATTCCCAGCTACCTTAGTTATCTCCATGGACTTACTAGACCCAGGGGACTCTTAAGAGGCAGCATTATAGAACTCAGAGCAGGGGTGGGTGGCAGCTGGCAGTGGGATTGTGTGCGGAGTACATGAAGTCTTTGGTATTTCTCCCTTTAGTGGACATTTCACCATCTCTTTTCACCTTCTCCCCTCCAGCAGAACTGCCCCAAGCAGGTATGTCTAAACTTCAGTTCTTCTCTCACAGAGGCTCTCAGAATCTCACTTATAGATTAAACATCTTAAAGTGGTTAGAGTGCAGACATTTTAAAAAAAGAGAAACTCTGATTTGTTTAAAGATTATTGTCCTGTACCGCACTTCCGTTTCCAATGTCTGTTTCCATTAATTTTCATCTATAGACTTTGGTTCCTGAAATTCTACTCTCCTGACCTCGTTCTTGCAGCTTTACTTTATAGTGCCTGATATATACAGACCTGAGTCAGAGGGGAATTTCATTCTGACACTTTCATTTGGTATACATGCTTCAGTGTGATTAATCATGTTCCAATAGTCTCTTTAGAAAGTGGACAAAAGAAGAGAACCTTTGATTGAGAAACTGTAAGTGAAAAGATAATTTGGAATCAAGACCATGGAGTCTTAGTTCCTAAATGTATTTATTCATCACTTTCTCGATTGTTGTTTATTTAGTACATACTTGCACCAGGGACCTGAATATGCATTTTAAATGTTTTGCTCTGTATTATCTTTTCTATTCCATAGACCTGAAAATAAGGGATGAAGAGGTTAAAATTCTCAGCTGGTATGTGATGAAGCTCAGAAACAAACTCAATTACTAAATGTTCAGGAGTTTTTTATTTTCCTGATTGACCGGACACTTAAAATGTACTCTTATCTTCTTTCTAAGACTTTCTAAGTTTACTCATTCAATTATTTTTTAAAAAACTTAAAACTAGGACTGGATGAAATTAAAATAAATAACATAATTATGAAAGCTTATAATTAACTGGGGAAGAAAGGCATTTGTCAAATAACCAAGGTTATTTGCACTATATATGGTTCTAAAATGTGGTTAATGGCATGAAGAAAAATCTATGTAAGGTTGTATAACGGATGCATAGAACCATGATTAGAATAGTTGGAAGATTATGAATTCTAAGGTAGTGTTGATGCTATATTCCATGGTAAGATCTTGAGTTGTTATCTGGATTCTTATTTCGAAAGGCCAGAAAACCATTTAAATCTTTTCTATAGGAGTATAACACTATTTTATTAATTTGTCTGCTTTATGAGACAACAGAGTGAAGGGGTATGGCACTATACTGGGAGGTCTAGAAAGAAGGTTCTGCAGACCTCTTGTATAAAGACCCTGAGGAAGGGGTTACAAATGGAAGTGAGAGGAAATAGAGGAGGCAAGGTTAAGTGTACTCTGTAAAGATGACAATAGATTGATTAGACTGAGGGTAGAAGTCTGACTGTTTTTTCCTATTTCTAAAATTCTTTCCAGAGGGCATAGAGGGAGTCACGTCCATAAAAATTAACAGGTCATTTTAACCCATTGATAACAAGCCTCTTCCTACATCCTGTCCCTGACATAGTATCTTTGTAATGTATATTAAACCACCTTATCTCTGTTAAAGTACATTCTTTTCTAATCTTGACAACCTTCCTCTTCTGATTGCCAACCTAAAACTTTATAGTTTTTAACTTATAAGTTTTATAACTTGCCTATAACCTAAAGCCCCCCCCCCCACACACACCACCACCACAATCCCGCTTCCCCAGCTTCCACATGTCCTTTTTGGGCCAGACTAATGGAAAAACTCTTCACTGAATTCCAAACTTTGCCTCTTGCTCTCAAAATCAAATAAAAAGACTCCTGTAAATGATCATTCTGAAAAAGACATGTTTTGCCTCTTTTCAGGGCTTAGGTGACACATATTTGTGCTTAGAAATAGACCACATTAATTATTATTTTTTGCAGAGTTGATTATTTCCATCAAGACCTATGAAGGGAGGATAGTGAGAGATGTCAAGGTGCCTCAGCTTTTTCTGGCATGAATACATAGGTAGATGTCAATGGACATAAATTAGATGATAAATATTGAAGAGGATCAAGTATGGTAAATGACAAAAAGTTCAACTTTGCATGTTATTTTTGTTTAAAACTTATTTTTTTTTTCTTTATGACAGAGAATGTGTGTGAACATGCCACAGTAAAAAAGAGTGAGTTGGTCTGGCTTCACTATGATCCCCTTCCTCTAGTCTTGCAATCCATCAGGCTTTGGGCATGTGTGTGTGTGTGCAGTGTTTCAAGCTGATTTGGTCGGGGATTCAAGTGATGGTCACCATGTGGGATCCAACTTCTCTTGATTAATGCATTACTGCTGCATTGAGCCGGCCCTCATATGTTGTTAGAGATGCCAATGAGCTATGGAAATTAATAGTCAAGTAGAGATTTGGATGCATAGCTATAAATCAAAGCTAAAAGAGAAACCTGCACTTTGAAGCATAAAATTAAAATCACTGATGTACAGAGGAGAAACAAGGAACAGATAAGTAGGACATTATTTTGAGAATAGAAGTTATAAAATGGAGCAGAGAAATGGGATAGTACTAGAAAGATATGAGGAGGCTATAATGTTGTCTACTTTTACCATTGTTTGATTGTTTTCTATGACAGTAACTCCTGAAATTGATCCTGTGGAAGAAGTTGGTGGTGGTCAGGGGTGACTTATTTGAATGCTGATAAAATAATCTAAATCCCTGATTCTCAACCTGGATGGCTATTGAAATGGAAATAAATAAATACTTATTCCTTAGTTTTAAATGAAAATATTCAGATTTAATTGTTATGTGATTGGACTGAGCAAAAGAAAAAAGCTCTTTAAGTGGCTCTAACATCCAGGACAGTTTGGGAATCTTTGGTCTGAACCAAGAAAAAAAATGTGAAGATGAAGGACAGAAACACTAAGAGTCATCAGGTATAGAGAATGAAGAGATTCTGGACCCTGATGAATAATTGAGGGGCTCAAACAACAAAGAGAAGCTGATTAATTGGGTGATGTTTGTGTGTGGGCAAGAGAGAAAAGGCAGCTTAGAATATAGACAAAAAGTGCCATCATTTGCACAAGTGGGAGTAAATAAATGGGTTGACAGTATTGAGAAAACATTTTATGGTGGACATACTGACTCTTGTTTATTGAAGAATCTGATGGCTAAATACTAGTAGATAGAAAGGGAAAAAACTTTTCCATTATTAGAGAAATTTGAACCTATGTAAAAAATACAGGCATAGGAAGAGTAAAGAGATAGTGTTAAGTTACAAGACTTTTGTGGGGAAGGATCTGGAGCCCATGACAGATCTAAGGATACTGCTAGACTGTAGAAATTCTGAAGTATAACCTGGTCTTTCCTGACCTTTTAATACTTGGTATGAGAATCTAAACAACATTGTTTCTCCTGTCCTGAGATACATACTACTCTTGGTCTTCACTTCTTCTACTGTCTTATCTTCATTCTACTGTCTTTTCCTAAAAACCAGCTAAAGACTCTCATGGAAAGCTTTGGAGTGAATATTTCAAGTAGTACCGGCTTCACATTAACAGGCTTTCCAGAGATGGAAGGCCTGGAGCACTGGCTGACTGCCCTCCTCCTGCTGCTTTATGCTGTCTCCATCCTAGGCAATACCCTCATTCTCCTCATCATAAGGGAAGAGCAGAGCCTGCACCAGCCAATGTACTACTTTCTATCTCTCTTGTCTGTCAATGACTTAGGTGTATCCTTTTCTACATTGCCCACTGTACTGGCTGCTCTGTGTTTCCAAGCTCGAGAGACTGCTTTTGAAGCCTGCCTGGCTCAGATGTTTTTCATCCACTTTTTCTCCTGGACAGAGTCTGGGATCCTGTTGGCCATGAGTTTTGATCGCTATGTGGCCATTTGCAACCCCTTGCACTATTCCACAGTGCTCACAGATGCCCGTGTGGCCCACTTGGGAATGTTCATCATTATCCGCAGCTTCTGCATGGTTTTTCCACTTCCTTTCCTG